AATCATTCTGGTGTTGCAAGTAGGAGGTTGCCTTGTGGTGTGTGGGTGTGTCCATAATTGGCAACCCAAAGGCATAAGAGGCCCAGAGAGATGAGAGGGATGACAAATGAGTCTGCATGGTAAATTCAAATGCTCCATGTGTTGAAGCTTGTGAGTGACATATGGACAGTATCCATTCACCTCCAGGAGAAAGCAAAACTGGAGAAGGACACCCCTAGAAAGTATGTAGGCACGGGTGTGTGGGGCTGATTTCTAGACAGACTCAATCATATTTCCCCTTCTGAAAGATGGCAAAGAGGGTTTAGGGGTTTTTTTTGTTCCCTTAAAGAAACTGTAATAAACTTCAAATTTTCATTTCATGACAGGGATCTTCTATAAAATTTTTCTTACTACTAAAGATTTGAATGGTTGTCATGTTCTATGCATTCAAAGTTAATAAATACTTGAGTCCTTTGGGATCACTATGCCCCTAGAAAAGAGTCTATGCACAAATCCTTATGACTCAGAACTGTTCTTTGCTTCTAAATCAACGGGAAGGAGTCACCACTGGACTCTTGCCTACCAAAACAAGGGACAAGGGCAATCCTCAAAGGCAGGAACCGTGCCCCTAAAATGGTCCTGAATGGCCCCCAGCAAGAAGCTACATGCACTGGGACACTTAATAAGGCTTGTTAGGGGAGGGAGCACAGCAGTTCCTACACCAGGCGGACGTGCCAAGGAGTCACTCAGCTATTGACCCACAGGTGACCCAGAACAGGACTTCTTTTCCTTTCTTCTTTTTGTCCTTTTTTTGTAGAAAAGACAAGAGTTTATCTAGTTTACAAAACACTGTCAAGAGGTGACAGCAGGCAAGTTTCTTAGAGGAAAATTGTATGGTTAGGGTGAGAGATTCAGGCTTTCATAAATGCTTAAAGATATGGAGAAAGGATCTGGACGGTGAATGAAGTTATTTAAAGAATGAGGACAGAGCTTATTAACTGTGTATCACAGAACACACCTAGCTGTGCCAAGACAGCAACGCCCTTGGCAATCCAAGCAGCCAGGTGAGGCCCATGGTAACCAGAGTCCCTGGGCTCAGCATCTGTTTACTGCACCATGCCACAGGAGTACTGTTTTCTACGTGTGCCTGATATTGCAAGAGACGAGAAAAGCACTTACTGAGTGCCTGCTGTGAACACAGTATTTTGGGGCTATGGAAGGCCCACTCCCACCTCTAAGCAGCTTAGGACTTCATAGCCAAGTGGAATTAACCAACATAACATCCGGTGACCGAAACAGATCATCAAGCCACACCTCTGTCTTCAACAGGCTGTTTTCTCCTCTCTCATCAAGAGAGTTATTCCAGCCACTCTTACAGAACTTCTGGGTTCCTGGTTAGTGGTCACAGACAGCCTACCTTTTTATCACTATCTATAAACTTGCACTGTTTCATCCAAGTAATGCTTGAAATAACCAGCCCTCACCTGCAGCTTCCAAAACCCTACAAAACTCAGCTATCACTTGTGTCCACCTATCAAAGCTCCTTCCTTCTACTTCAATAATTATCAAGTATTTAACATTTACCATAAGATATATTATTTTTAAAAGCACTTCATACCTTGAAACATCCAATGACTTTGTTTGTTACACCATTCAGAAATGGAAATTTGTAGGATAATCCACCCTTCATTAATTTATTCAACAAACTCTTCTGAGTGTCTAGAGTGTACCAGACACATGATAGGTGCTAGGGGTGTCAAAAGGAATTAATGTACTCCTGGCTGTCAAGAATCTCATCAGTCAAAAACACATAATTAACTCCCAGCTGGGTGAGAGTCAATGCAGGTAGGTGTAAAATACCAGGTGTCCCCTAAGGATAAAGAGCCATCCTGCCTGGAGCACAAGGGCCCAGCACCTTCAGATGGAAGTGTCCTCCCTGAGGAGGTACTTGATGTGCGAGCATGGCAAAATTACTTTCCAGAGCATTTTGCAAGCATTATCCCATTTTATTACAACACAAGAAAGAAATGGCAGGTATCCCTCTGAGATGCCTGTCATCATTTACAGGTTGGGTTTGCAAGGTCGGCCCTACAGAGTGTGTAAATTTCTTCCCAGGAGGACTGCATGCTTGCAGTTGAAGAAACTCTCAATGAGGTTACATGACTTGCAAAATGTCAGGCAGAAATTAGTGACTTCTACTTCCCAGCCAGTGTTATTGTTTTCTGTCTTTCCTACCACATCAACAGTACATCTCATTTCTAGAGAATTTGATAGACATGTTCATAATATTCTTAAAATTGCCTTTATCTTTTATGAAAGTCTTGAGAATTTGTCCCAGAGGCCAGTAGTAAATTGCTACCACCTTCACTCCAAGATTTTCCACAGCCTTGGGAAGTTGGTTATTTTATCTCCAGTCTTCTTGTGGGACCTGTTCCCGTCTCTCATTCTTAATCTCCTCTAGCACAGCTTGGAGGGCTGTGGCCCTCCCTGGCTGATAGGTAGCCCAGCATTCCAGGATTGTTCGTGTCAGAAAGGTGATTCTTATTTTTGTATGTTGTGGTGGGCCACCGACTCCAGGGATGCATAGAAATACATAGTCCTGCTTCACTTTCCTGGGCCATGAGAGACACAGAATGTAGGCTGCCAGATATGTAGAACAAGGGAATGGAGGCTGACCTGCTGGCCTTCTGCAGCCGTCTGTATGCCCTGCTGGATGGGTGGGCTCAGCCTCTCCCAACAATCTCCTGTTTACCCACCGAGACCTCATCCGCACTCCCAGGTCTCTCTACCTCTGTTTCTATGGCTAACACAATATTAAAAAAAAAAAAAAAAAAACACTAGGGTATTTTAACAACTTGGAATTTTTGCACTGTCAAAAGTTTCAGATAAATGTTTCCTTGATGGCTTAAACTGAAGCACCATCTTTATATATATGAAAACTAACACAGTTTAGTAAATGGCATTTGTTGTGGCCTCCAATATCCAGGATCAGGCCCTATGCTAAAAAAAAAAAAGAAAAAAGCCCAGGTCTGTGCTGTACAGTACAGGGGAAAGGGCAGTGAACCGACAGTTAGGAGACCCAAAGCAGTTCCTAGGTTTGCCATGATTAATAAGCTGTGTATCGCAGTGAGTTGATTTCTCTAGACTAGGGAGGTAGACAGTGATCTTGAAGCTTCCATCCAGTTCTGAGTTTATGATTCTAAGATCAAAACACAGCTCCACCAAGGGGGAAGCTGGGGTGACTGGCACTTGGCATATGAGAAATGAGATGCAATGGTCCTTGGCAGTGCCTTTCCAGCCTGGCGGAGGGGGCAGAGTGCCCCCTGGGGGTTGGCACTGTGGAAGAACGTAGATGATGTAAGGGCACGCTCTTGGTTTCCATTCTGCAGAGGTGCTCAGGGAAGGCTAAAATTCCAGGCACCTCTGCAGTGCAGAGTTCACAGACATTTCCCAGCCTGGGGAATAATAGCTTAGAGCAAATCAGTGGAGAGGATTTCAAAACAATAGCTACTTCTCCACCTGAGCCTGAGGGAAGGGACAGGGTCATTGTTCCCTTCCAATCCTAAGGAGCAGACAAGACTTCTTTCATTGCTTGTGCATGCCCCCCACCCAGACTCTCAGGAGGCTGGCCCTGCCAATAACATTCTGGGCTTTGTTAAAGTTGTCTCTCCATAAGTGGTATGATCTAGGCCAATCTTTTCAAACTTGAATGCGCACACAAATCAGCAAGAGATCTTGTTAAGAGGCAGATTTCAATTCAGTGGGCTTGAGTGAAAACCTGAGATTCTGCATCCCTACCAAGCTCCCTGGTGACAACCATGAAATCGTTCTAGCAGCACCAGATTCTGAGCAGCAAAGATGCAGAAAAATAATTGGACACTGAGAGCCCACCATGGTGCACTGTTAGTAGAATGCCACAGAAATCATGATGAGCCTAGTTCCCCATCTTTTGGTGACATCTTTTGGTGACCGCCTGTTTCAAGGTACTCTTTGCAAGGCAAAGTGAGTTAACCTAGAGAGTGTGCAAATGTCACAGTGCGGATGTTTTCCACTGTTTCAGGCAGCTGCTGGACCTCTGACTCTGGTGTGCACTAGAACGCCGATGTTGGCTGAGCATGCCCTAGGGATCGCCAAACACTCCACTTAATAGACCTGGGGTGGGTCCGGGAGCATGCACGTTAATAAGCCACACGGGAGATGTGATGCTGTCCTTCTCAGACCACAACCTGAGAAATCTTGTTCATCATGGTAAAGGTGATCTCTTCTGCATAGTGTGGAAATTGAAAACAGTATGCTACAGAAGAGGGTTTCTCACAAGAAATGTATTCAAGACACAGTTCCCCCTAGACAGGTACTTGTCAGATTTTCATATACACAGAACTCACCTGGGGGAACTTGCTGAAATATAGTTTCTGATTCCATCCGTCTGGGGTTAGGCTGAGATTCTGTATTTCTAACAATCTCCCAGAGGAGGCTAATGCTGGTCCAAGGATCAAACATTGAGTAGCGAGGCCCTATACCAATAATTCTAAGCGCAAGCTGCAAGTGAAAGCCATCTTTTAAATACCATAGGCATTGGAAACTTTAATCTTCCTCACTGGTGTGGAGTAAGCCTCAGGTTTTTTTTTATTTTTTTTTTATTTTTTTTTTTCTGAAAGCACCTAATATGCCGCTGGTTTTCAAACTCCCTGCTGCAGGTGGTATTCACGGTTCTGGCTGTAGTCAGCTCAGGGTCCTCTTGTTCTGAGCCGCCTGCACAGTATGGTCCAAAGGGTCATAGGCTGGCTCACCCACCTCTGGACATGGTGGAATTTAGGCTCCCGCAGGGAAAGGAGGTGGAAGTTGTAATGGGAGAAAAGGGGCAGCTGAGCGTTTTATTCAAAGATGGATGCAGTTACTCCCTAAACATCAGACTGCACTCCTTTCCCGCTTCTGGGTGTGGTTTTTCCTCGCTCTCAGCTTAGCTCTCAGGGGTATGGACCAGAAAGGACACTGACCAGTCTCTTCTCATTCCCCGCTAGGTGGCGGTGGACAGCAGCCACCCACAGCGGGCCAGAAGGCAGAGGAGGGTGCTGAGGCTGTGCTCTCCAGGCGCAGAAGTGTGTTCCACATCGAGTGGTCATCTGTTCGGAGGAGGAGCAAAGGTGTGCACATCCTCCGCCCCATCATGCTGGGTCCCCAGTGTCCTTGTCTCTGATAAAACAAGGACAATTATCTGTACCTACTCCACAGGTGGTGGGAACACCCATGAGGGCAGGTGCATTCTCCTCAAACCTGACCGCTGGCCAAGGCTACAGCTTTCTTGTGTCTGGACACACCCTGCCTAAGGCGGGGCAGCAAGCTGGGACAGGCAGTGGACAGAGGCAGGGGTGTCAACTTGGCTGCATGTGGGAATCACCTGGGTCCCTGTACCCAAAGACTCTAATTTAATTCATTTGAGAGCAGCCTGGATGGGCATCTGGATCCTTTAGAGCTGTGTGTGAGATTCTAACTTGCCACTAAGTCAGAAAACCATCAGTCTGGGAAGCTACAGATGAAGAGTCCTTTCCCAAGGCAATGGTGGGTACACCAAGGGAACACATAGAGAGGAAAGGTATGGAGAGGACTCCCACAGACCAGGAGAGGCTCCAAAGGGCAATCAAAGCTGAGCAGAGGAAGTAGCCAGAAACTTAGCCTTGAAAGCTGACGTCAGGTTCTGGAACACAGGTAGGTGTCTGGAGGGATCAGCCCCATCAGCTGCAAGTTGGAACAGCTTATAAAGAGACAGAAGAGTGAACCTAATTCTCCCCCAACCCCCAGAGAAGGGAGCAGAACTCCGCAGACCCAGACCCACACAGCTGGTCAGAGGAGCTGCAAGGGATACACCTGACTCCCAGGCTGGTGTCCCCTCCATCACGTGCCTCTCAGAAGATGCATTAGTAACTTTCTTCCTCCAGCTCATCTCATTCACACCAAAAGTCATCCAAGACAGAGAAACAGGCCTTGAGTGGTTATGGGAAAGCCCTACAAGGTAAAAAGGCATTGCATTTACCTCAAGGACTCCTCAAGCCCAAGAGTTTGCATTTGATTTGCTCCCATGATGTAAAAGAGGGCATGGTTTGCCTTAAAAGGTCAATACTCTCCCTCCTAACATCTCTCAGGAGTGTGGAGGTGGAGTGGAACAGGCTCAGTAAAGCCCCGTGGAAAGGAGCAGGAAGGGGAAGGTCCATGGGAATTGCTGCAGCCCTGGAAAGCAGAGGAGGGCTCCAGCCAGAAGAAGTGGTCAATGAGGAGATCAGGCACACAAGCCTCTGAGTTAGAGGAATCCTCCCTGCTTCCTACACTTCATTTCAAAGTTTCCAAAATTAACTTGTTTCTCCTACGTAGTATAATTTCACAACCACACTGGTATTTGAAACCCCTGCTCCTACAAAAGTGGCAACACGATAACTCTGACGCATTCCTTCTAGTGCTCGGAAGGGGCTAGACTGGAAGGCAGACTGGGAAAACCCAACTCAGTCTATAAACAAACACAAGGCAGGCAGAGCCCAGCCAGTCTCACAATTGACCACTAGAGGGAACCAGAGCACCAAGGCCAAAAAAAACCTAAGCGCCTGATCTTTCACAATGCATAAAACCCTACTGAAATCTGTCATTCTTGAAAATAAATCATGCACCATAGCACAAAATGTTTGTGGTTACATTACAAGAGTTTTAAAGATGTAAAGGACATGCCAAAATCTATCTTAGGCAATTACAGGTATATCACTTGTCCTGATCTAACTAGCAGCTGGTATTAAAATGCCTAAAATCCAGAGACATACCTAAAATGATTGCGAGAAAAAGTGCAAGTCCCAAATAGCCTGATGTAGACCTGGCTGAGGAGAGTCATAGCCAAGTTCAAACCCAGATCCCATATGGCTCGGGAAGTTACCGCTTTAGGATCAAAGGACTTCAACCACGTCCAAGTTTCCTCCTTTGCGCACCTACAAATTCTCCCTGTGGTATGGAAGAAAGAATCATCAGGGATCACAGGCAAATTCCTGTCCCTCTACTGTTTACTGTTTCCTCATCTAAAAAATATAGGGCTTCTTAATTAAGGATCAATGGAGTCTCTGAACTCCCTATATTCTTTGTAAAGTGTCTTCTTTCCATGATGATATCCACACCCAAGGGGGCCCACGAGCATAGGAAACTCTCAGCTATGAGACTCCAGGCCACTGTGCTTTCACAGTGGAATGGGAACTACTAAGTAAACTAACTCCAGCCCGGCAAGAAATTACTGCTAAGTGCCAACATACAGGTTCTGAACTGATGATTCTCTTCCAACTCCAGTGTTCGGCAGAGGCGAAAGCCAGGAGAGACAGCCCAAAGAGCCTTTTCCTTACCTGTACCGGAAGCCCACCGTGGAGCTGCTGGTGAGTATGGAGTGGCCGAGTCAAGGCAGCACCCCGGCCACCTCAGATTGGGCATCTAAGATCTGTCAAGGAGGCTCTCCCGTGGAGGAGCATTTTCATGAACTCGTATCTTCAGAAATGTAATTACTAGATTAAAATGTCTGTTTTTCACAGTGTGAACTTTCATATTCCCTTTATTTGAATTATTATCAGTTTTCCTCCAAATCAAGCATTGAGGAAATAAGATCATGCCAGTTTTGGAAAGCAGAATGTTTACATGTTCAATTTCATACCTTTGTGTTTATGGACAGTTAAATTTTAAAGACTAGTCATGTCAGAGGGAAAACAATTTCTTCCAGAAAAAAGTATAGAATAGTGTAAGTAATGGTTTTTGAAACAAAAATTTAGAAGCTAAGCACAGTAGTGTATGCCTGTCATCCCAGCTACTCAAGAGGCTGAGACAGGAGGATCACCACAGGTTTAAGGCCAACCCCAGGAGACTTAGTGAATAAAATAAAAAGGGCTGGGAACATAACTCAGTGGAGAAGTGCTCCCTAACATAAGCATAGCCTTTGATTAAATCCCAACACTGCAAGGAAAAAAAGAGAGATACGCGGTTGAATGTGTTAATTCTACCATTTGACCTTGACCTTTGCTAGTAAGAACCTGTGCGTGCCTGGATCCTCCTCCACAGAATGAGTATGAAGATGTCACCCTGTTGTTCCTCATGGCAGTTGCCAATATCAAATGAGTGACATGTGAAACAAACCAAAGATTCTAAGCTACAGAAACAGGGAGATGATTCAACAGCAGCTTAACAAAACACCTAACAAACATCTTAGCTTGGTCCTTGAGGGACCACAAACGTGACTTCTCAGCGTGAAAGTCACAGAATGTGGAGTGCTCACACCCACCTCCCACCCCTGACAGGATCTGGACACCATGGAGGAAAGCTCTGAGATAAAGGCGGAAGCTGCTGTGCCCAGGATGTCCTGGATCCAGAGTTCCATGGCGGCCGGCGGAAAGAGGATCAGCCAAGCCCTCAGCTACATCACAGGGGAGATGAAGGAGTGCGGGGAGGGACTTAAAGGTACCGTTCCACGGTGGCAACCCTGACCCTACCCCTAGAAATGTTGCCTCTGTCATCCCCAGGAAATGCATTGCAATAAGCGTTCTCTGTAGAGGACTGTGAGCTCTGTTTCTAGGGTCTTTCTGGGAAGCTAGGAGTTCTGCCATTGTAACAGTCTCTTTGGATGCAAAACCTACGTATATCGATCACAAACCCTCGTGTCTGAATACGAGAGTCCTGCTGTCCCCGGTGTCCCATCCAGATGTTGCAGATAAGCATTTCAGTACTGGGGTTCTACAGCCAACATTCTAGAAAATGCCCCTCTGGATGGCTCCAGGAGAGAACTGTCTGCCAGTCCAAGTGTCCTCTAGCAGTCTCCCAGTCTCAGCCCATGGTGCAATGCCAACCATGCAGCAAGAGTTTTCTGGAAAATGTGGGAAGCATAGCTCAGGATATCCAACAACCACCACAGGACAAACTGCCTAGAGGCTGTACTTGGCTGGCATATCCCTGGTTCTCCAAATACCCTCTTCTGTGGCAAGTAACAACAGGTGGTCAGCTCCCTGAAAACCCACTTGGGATTGGCAGGGAGATTTCTCACACACTCAGCCCATTCCCAGGCCCTACCCAGGGCTACCCCACACAGGAGCAGTTGCTGACTTTCCTGCTGTTCCATTTCAGACAAGTCCCCCGTGTTCCAGTTTCTCGACTGGGTGCTCCGGGGCACATCTCAGGTGATGTTCGTGAACAACCCTCTCAGCGGCATCCTCATCGTCGTCGGCCTCTTTGTCCAGAACCCGTGGTGGGCCATCTCAGGCTGCCTGGGCACCATTGTGTCCACCTTGACAGCCCTTTTCCTGAGCCAGGACAAGTAAGTCCCCAAGAGTCAAAGCATAAGGCTAAGGGACCACTCCCTATGAGGAACTTCCTTCCCCTTCGCACCCTCCTTCAGCTCAGAAACCCTCAAAATAAGGGCACTGGAAACCAAGAGTGACTATTCCTTGATCATTTGTCATAGACACACTGCACAGAGAAATGTGAGGCCCAGTAGGTCTGATGTCTCTCCTCCCCACTCCCAGAACTGTGGCTGTTTGGAGGTGTGTAGTCACACTCCCGGTGAGAAAAATCTGACTCTGAAGGAAAACTTAAAGGGCATGGAAAAGCCCACTCCATAAGCCCATCCTTGTCCCCCAGGTCAGCCATTGCAGCAGGACTCCACGGCTACAACGGGGTCCTCGTGGGGCTGCTGATGGCCGTGTTCTCAGACAAAGGCAACTACTATTGGTGGCTTCTGCTCCCAGTCATCGTCATGTCCATGTCTTGGTAAGTTTGCTTCTCAAGTGAGTTCCAGTCAAAGAGCCACTGCCTTCATGTCCTGGGCCTGGGCCTGCCAATCTACCCTCTGCTGTAAAGTATCATTTGTTCAGCTTACACATTAGAAACATCCACTGGAGATAATTACCAACATTATACTGTGCTAGGACACCATACATAGAATCACATTAACTACCATCCTTTTTAATCCTTTGAAGATCTAAAAGGGTTTCTGGCCTCACCCTGACAGAACACAAAGAAAGGAAACTGAGGCCTAGGCAGGTTAAGATCCATGCTATAGGATCGTGTTCCTTTCTGGAAATCTTCCTTTACTCCATGTCTGGGACCCCTGCCCAAATAGAGACAACTCCTGTATTAGTCAGACTTCCCACTGTTCAAAGTACCCAACACCCAACTTATTTGTCAGATTTCCCACTGCTCAGACCTACACCCAACTTAAAGGAGAGGAGGTTTAATTTGTCTCACAGTCTTAGGGGATTCAGTCCCTGGGCAGTTTATTCCAAGACAGAAGCAGCATGGTGGAAGGGCATGGAGGAGGAAAGCTTCTCACCCTATAGCAAGCAGGAAACAGAGACAGAGAAAGGAGCTAAGCGGAAGAACACACCCTTCCAGGCCACACTCCCCAGTGAGCTACTTCTAACTGGACCCCATCTCCTAAGATCAAGTCATCTATGAATTAATCCACCGATGAGTATAGGGCCCCCTTGATACAATCACCTTCTGAAAGCATGAGGCCTTGTGCACACACTTTAGATATAAATCACAACTTCTAAGGGTAGGCTGAAGGCCAGATGTGGGGTGCAGCCCTCAGGGTATACCGAGCTCCTCACTCACTTCAGAAAACACAGGGCACTCTGACCAAGAGCCCAGTGGGCCTGGTCACTCAAAATGCATTAATTAGCTCAATAACTGAATGACTAATTCCGGGTCTGTCCCCGGACCTGTCCTCCCCCTCCTGCCTGGGGATGTAGTTCAGTGAGTCTTCTGGGGATTCCAAAGCTCCTGATTTTAAGATATCTCCCAGACAATCCTCCTTCTGAAGCTGAGTGTGAGAACCCACCCTGCCCCTGTTCCCTGTGCAGAGAGGAGGCTGCCAGTCAAGTGGAGGGGGTGGGGGCAGCAGGGAAGGTGTAGCCCCCCCCAGTGCTGTACCCTCTACTGCCTGCTTGCCAACCAGTGTCTCTGCGGTTCTGCCATCAGCCCCGTCCTCTCCAGCGCCCTGAGCACCATCTTCAGCAAGTGGGATCTGCCGGTCTTCACACTGCCCTTCAACATCGCCGTGACGCTGTACCTGGCAGCCACAGGTCACTACAACCTCTTCTTCCCCACGACGCTGCTGCAGCCTGCATCCTCTGTGCCCAATATCACCTGGTCGGAGGTCCAAGTGCCCTTGGTAGGTGTCAGAGGAAGAGGAAGGGCAGTGTCTGCACAAAGTCAATGTTAATTGGCATTTACTTGTTTTGTACATCCGAAGGGAGGTGATTATTAACAATGACATTGTCCAACGCGTTCTCCACACATACGTCACGGGTTCCCATCCTTGCCTCCTTGTAAGAAGCAAAAGGGCTATTTCTGGTCCCACTCTGTTATGACACAGAGGAGGAAACCGAGGCCAGGTTGAGACCCACTTGAGGCACACAGTGATTTAGTGAGGAGCAAAGTCCAGCTTCCGGACTCCTGGCCTGGGTTCTTTGCTTTCTTCTTGAATGCTTTGTTCCAGTTTTAGGGCAGTGTGAGCTGTGTGTCCTCTTTCATTCAGTCACACCAAGCCGTTAAAGATGTGCCCATCGTGCTACCATCGAAGGCTTCAGCAGTCACAGTCGCAGCCTCCACAGTGTGTCCCAGTCGCTCTCTAAGGCTCGCTCACATTTTAAAGCGCCTGAACTCCTCCACTAAGAAATCCATATACAGGACAGAGCATCTACCAGTATTTGCTTTGATTTTTAAAGCACTGGAGATTTAATTCAGAGACCTCACACTAAGCCACATCCCCAGCCCTTTTTTTATATTTACTTTTGAGACGGCATCTTGATAAATAACTAAGTTGTCCAGGCTGGGCTTGAACTTGTGCTCTTTTGCCTCAGCGCACCAGAATACTGAGGTTACAGGCATGTGCCACCATGCCTGGCCTAACACGGTGTGTGCTTTCTAACAAGTATTCCCTGCTTATAATGCTGACCTCTGGAAGTCTGCCAGGATGATGAATAAGATAGTGACACTGAAAGCATTAAATTAGCATGGGGCGCTGTGCCCTTCAGCCTTGTTATCTAAACAGGCACAGTTGCTCTGAGCCTCTACTCTCTCACACACAGCAGGGCCCCACAGTGGTGCCTATCCTGAAACTTTCTCAACACAGCGCCACCTCCAGGCTTGGAGGAGGAACTTCCAGAAATAATGACGCCTAGTGTCTTTTGACATTCCCTTGTATGACGGAAAGAGCCTTGAATTAGCACTAAGAAGCATCATTATTAGGAAAGGAAGCACTCGTGTTGGCCCCATCCTTTGTGATTGCTTTGTATATGCAAGGACCTTCATGGCCCACAGGTGAGAAGAGATGTCATCCTGGTGATTCAGCAACTCAGGCTTTCCATTCGTGGTGCTAACCCAATCGATATATTTTTGGAGGCAAAATTGCTGTAATCAGTGTGCCATGAGAAAAAGTTGTTAGAAATTGCAAGTTTAAGATATTACATTCTTCATGCCACTTTTGCAATTGAAAAAAATGTTTCGGAATTTTATACGAGTTAAAAAAACTAAGTAATCCTTTACAAACACTTTAGAATTCCAAAGTTCTAGGGAAAAACATTCTAATTTTTGGTAGTTGTTCTTTAAGAAATAACTTTCTGGCCAATTGAACAGATTAGATGATTTATACATGTGTATGTTCTTGACAATTAGAGTTAGAGACTTGAGCCCCTAAAAAGCATATGGTGCAGGTCAGAGAAAGGTTTTACAACTCCGAACAGCATTGAGTCCCCACCCATAGGCACCTCTGTTCTTGTCACTAGTGGAGACTCCCCAGATGCAACCAGGGAGAGATGAAACCACCAGCACCACTTCCTGTGTAAAACTCACATCTGTCCAGTCCTCCCAGAGCCCCTGTTCTCTGTTCTGGGATAGTGTAAGCCTGTGCCAAAGGGTTAGTCCTGTGAGCCTGTCCTCCTACCTATGCACATTCTCGCTGGGAGTGAGGGCCCTGAGCTCCAGGTTCTCCATTCCTGACATCTCCAGGAGGACTCAGACTGCAGGCATGGTATCCACAACTCACCCTAAGATTGCTTCTCTTCAGCTCCTGCCCCAAGGAGAGAGGAACCCAGTGTGTGTCAACAGGATCCACAGCCATGTCCCTTAAGCATACACTTCCAAAGGCTCAAGGGCCTTTCAACAAACCCTCTGAGACACAGCACCCAGTCCCAGTGGTTGAGGAAGCCCACAACCCGGGACTCTTCCCCAGCTCTGTGTGCCAGTGACCACACGATGTCTGAGTGCCTCAAATGCTCTGCACTCTCAGTCTCCACTGAGCCTTGAGATCCGTGGAGGACTGAGGCAGGCAGGGTGCCCTTCGGGTTTATCAGCCAAAAGAGCAGGTGCTGGGCCACACTGCCTCCTCCACCCCCTTCTGTGACCACAGTCCAACTGCTTGTCAGACAAGATGGACATCTGCACACCCTACTCCTCTCAGGAAAAACAATCCCCTGGGAAAGGTTTCCAGTTTCTCCTCTTGAGGGGTAAGTGTCTTTCACTCATGTCTATAAATGAAGAAAACTCAGTATCTTCACCTCACTAAGAATTCAGATAAAATGAGAAGCATCTGTTCCTTCTAGGGTTAACATTCTTGAGCATCAATGTCTTCAAAGCCTGTGGTGAAGGATTGTGTAGAGGACTTGGCACGGAATCTTTTGGACTAAAGTTTAAATTGTCTCTTTTACCTTCCTAACAAGCTTGTGACTCTGTTGCACCTGCAGCTTTTGAGAGCCATCCCTGTCGGAGTCGGTCAAGTGTACGGCTGCGATAACCCCTGGACTGGAGGCATTTTCCTAGTAGCTCTGTTCATATCTTCACCTCTGATTTGCTTGCACGCAGCAATTGGATCCACTGTGGGGATGTTAGCAGGTCTGTGTCACCGCTTTCCCTTGTTAATGGGCTGAAGGGATGCTAGTGCCCGGGGCCAACTCCAAAGGAAATGGTGAAGTGTGTCTTTCATGCTGCACCTGCAGATTCCCTGAAACTTTCCCTTTCTATGGCACCCGATCCCCCACTTTCAGTGCTGATGTCTTCATGCTCCTCTGAACCACACCTGTATTCAAAAAAGACTTTGGCATTTGGCATTTGTACCTTTATATAAATTCAAAGTTTGGGTAAGGTTAGTGCCAGGTGTCTTTGTATTTTAAGTCTTCTCCCAGTGACAAAAAGAAAGACTAGTTCCCAGAAGAAGCATGTGGGGGAAGGGGTACATCCTCTGGACTCTCTCCCTTCAACTCCATAGCTGCTGAGCTGCTAGTATTCATGGGGCTCCATGACAATTTGTTCCCTTTAGATGTATTTTCACTATATAAAGTCAGAAGCCCTCTTTTATATATAAGTAGCTTGGAAGAAAGCTGGTTCTGGGCTTTGAGGCCGAGAGTAGGTTTTGGGGCAGCCACAGAGGCCCTGTAAAATCTCATACTCAACACTGACACCTACCTGTCCCATAGCACTCAGCATCGCCACACCCTTTGACTCCATCTACTTTGGCCTGTGCGGTTTCAACAGCACCCTGGCATGCATCGCCATCGGAGGCATGTTCTACGTCATCACCTGGCAGACACACCTCCTTGCCATCGCCTGCGGTAGGTGCTGCTCCGAGAGAGCCCTTTGAAGCTTAAAAGGTTCCTGCAACTGACCCCCGCAAAGAAAACTGCCCTGGGACAATCATGCCCCCAAAGAAGACAAATGGGAGAAATTATTCACGTTATGGAAGGTTTTGTTGTTAAAACTGTCTTCAGGGGTTATTCGGTGAACTGCCTTCACTGTATATACAATGTTCGGCCACGTGGAGGCAGACTTCTTTAGGTGGCCTTGGTTTCGTGTTTCTCATGGCTCTCTCCTGTGATTGCTGCTTTCCTAGCTGGTGATTGGAGTGCACAGAGCAACTCTTAGACAATTCGTGCTTTATATGGAATTAGGCAATTTGTATCACATACAGCAATAAAACTTAAACATCTAAACGTTGGCCATAGGGGCCCTTCAAGTGATCCCTCTTGAATATGTATTTGTTCAGAATCCTAGGATATTAGATTGACTATAAAAATTTGGCACATTTATATAATTTAATCCTTGAATATCCTTCATTTCTTAATGTTAATATAAATGAAAACCAAGTAAAACTTCTTTTAACCAAGATATTTAAAATAGAGATTCCATTTCAGCACCACCATAGGCTCTGAGACGTTATCTACATAATTTTTTTAATTAGTTTACAATAGAAAACTTTTCCAATTATCTTTTGCTAGGGAAGATGTCCTGGATCAGATATGGCCATCTATTGTATACATAAGGTAATCTGTAGACTTTTTTGCATTTTATGATAGTCACTATAAACATGGAAAAAGTAAATTTTAAACTAGAAGTAAAGGGTCCATCTACTGTCTTTTTCCTTTTTTAAAGTTATTTTCTAATATCCTAAAATACTCAGTGTAAGGCCAGCATGCTATGGTTACTTAAGAAATAATAGTGTTCTATTATTGGCCAAATAAAAGATAATCGTTCTCTTAGCGCCTGCCATGAAAAGGCACTTTAAATACTCCTCTCCGCCCTATCACAACTCAACAGAGTTGGTATTTATGTTAGTGAGTTTTGATTACTGTGACAAAATACCTGAGATAACTTAGAGGAAGAAAGAGTTATCTGGGTTCGGAGTTTCAGAGGTTTCAGTCTGTGGTCACCTGGCTCCATCAAATTAGGCCTGTGGCGAGGCAGAAACATGGCGGAAGGGCATAGCAGAGGAAAGGTGTTCACCTCGTAACAGACAGGAAACAGAGAAAGCAGGAGAGAAAGGGACCGGGGATCAGATATATCCCCAAGGTTATACCCCCACATCCCACACCTTTCAACTAGGTCCCACCTTCTGTTTTTATTACTGCCCAAGAATGCCATCAAAATATGACCTCATCAGTGGATGAATTCACTTGATGAAGTTAGAGTCCTTGTTATTCGATTGCTTCCCAAAAGCCCATTAACTGGCAACCAAACATTTAACACATGAGTTTTGGAAGGTATTTCAAATCCACACCTTAATGGCATTATTATTCCACTTTGAAAAAGAGGAAGAAATATGTCACAGAGGAGGGCCAGGACTAGGACGAGACAATTCAGATGCAAAACTTAAGAAGGATTTCACCCTCAGGGTTGTGCAGGTGAGGATTCTGACATCTCCATGCTCTTGAGATGAGGGGCACCTTAAACTGTGTATCGCAGCTGCCTCCCTCATGTCCCCTAGTTCCATATTTATCAGAAAAGTTCAGTAACCCAACCACTCGTGTCAGAAGTTACCTGGGTGGTTCTAAACCAGAAGGATTTCTCCCTTTCTCAGGGATTTTCGGCAGTGTCTGGTGAGGTTTTTATTTCCCCACACATAGAGGAGGAAGTAGGGGCTGGGGATTTAGCTCAGCGGCAAAAGCGCCTGCCTGGCAAGCGCAAGGTCGTGAGTTCGGTTCCCGGTACCGGAGAAAGACCAAAAAAAAAAACCAAAAAAACATAGAGGAGGAAGTGTGACAGGAATATAGTGGGGAGAGGCAAAGGTGCTGTTAAATGTCCTACAATGCTCACAACAGCCACACAATAAAGAATGTCAGTGGTGCCATTCTGTGAGCCTGGTATGTAGCCTCTCATTTAATCCCCGCTGCAACCTAGACAGTTTCCCACTTCACAGAGGGGAACTGAGACTGAAGGGAGTGAAAATCAAACTGCCCAAAGCCAGGTCTGCAAACACATCAGGCTGTAGAAGTCTGTGCTCTTTGTAGGACATCATGTTCTTTCCTGAAGCCAGTATTTTCCCTGAGGTCCACAGCAGTCAGCACTTTCCACAGTCATGGAGCTAGTGATGGACAGGACCAGTGAGAAAGGAGGTTCCTCCTGCTAGGTGTCCTCCAGAACAGACGATTTCCCCTGAAGTCAGACAGGCTGCCTGTACTGTTTCCTGCACTTCCGCCATCTTCCTTGTCTCTCCTCACTCTGCAGGCCCTGCAGCCACACATTAGCACACAGAGGTTTTCAAAGGATTTCCTGTTGGTTACAGATCAAATTTGATAAAATAACAGTGGGGTCAGGGGAAAAGGAGAATGAATCCTTTGTCCTGGACCCCAGGATAAAGGATGACTTGGATGGAATTGGGCTCAGCCCAGACCACTCCAGGAGCCTTCATTCCTCAAAGGCCAAGCCCAAAGGTGCCCTCAGGCCTTCTGGTTCCCTGTGTTCTGGGGACTAGTGGTGCTCAGGTCAGTCCCTCCAGGTTCCTCCCTTTCTAACCTCAGCTCTGAGGTTAGAGTACACCGTGGTTAAGAGCCCACTCCTGGAGCAGACAGCTGGAGCTCTGCCACTTCTCACCCGTATAATCCTGGTCAAGTCACTTGAGCTCTCAGTGCCTGATACTAGCGATGTCTGCCTCATAGCACTGTTGTCAGGATCAAATCCAATAATTTATGAAAGCAAAGGAAACAATGCCTGATGCCTGAGGCATGCCCAGGAACAGTTGACCTTGTTACCTGTAATCAAGCAACGTGTACTAATAAGTGCGGATGCAGCTGACATAAAGAATGGCACAGGCTCCTGGTCCCTTAGAGAGAGATCACCTGGCTGGTGGGACCCATGAAACTGTTGCCAGCCCCACACCCCACTGACTTCGTTCATCCTTTAATCTCTTCTACTTCCTACCTGTAGGATAAGAAGGACTTGTCTAACTCAAAGACAGGTAGAACAGTCACAGCATCTAACCTCTCTGAGCCTATTCTCATCTATGAAATAAAAACAATAATAGTGCTTACGCTGTAGGAATGCCGAAGGATGCGGTTGGCATTGCTGCTAGCTGGGCACACAGCAGCTCTCTAATAAAGGTGAGCTGTTGTTAATAGCCTAGGGACTTTTGGGTTGCTCGCTGCTGAGAAATTAAGGGTTCAGAAACAAAGCCCAATTACACTGGCCCATTTTTATTGCTTCTCCCCTCTTGCCAGCATTTGGCTCTTCTCGGTGGTCAGCCCGAGCCTGTCCCCTCCACAGAGCCTACAAGACAAGGCAGTGGGCATATTTGGTCTCCCTCGAGCTTACAGAACGCTGCTTCTCCCTGAAAACCCATATTATGTTAATACCTTGTGATGAAATAGTCCAGCAGGGAGTTCTGGGACTCACTTGCCTTTGCTGTATAGTAAAATTTTCATTTATGGTTTATGCTGTTAAATGTTCCTTTACTGGAATGCAAGGTGGTGGGACCCAGGAGAACTATAACAGCTAAATCCTGGCCCTTTTTAACAAAGTTCATCTGCTGTCTTAGCCGTGCCGGCATTTGCATGGAACTTAACACTTCTGAAGCTGCCAAGCAACGGAAACATAATTCTTTTTTTAAATCTGAGACATAGCATGGTGGCATAAAATTAATGAAGAGAGAATATGGAGACAAAGCTTGAGATACTATCAAGTAGTTACTGGACTATTTACTGTTGGTTCTTTTTCCAGCTCTGTTTGCAGCCTACCTGGGCGCGGCTCTGGCCAACATGCTGTCTGTGGTGAGTCCACACGGGGTACAGATGTGCTCACAGCCCCCTTTGGCTTCCCAAACCCTGCTCAAAACTCCTCCTCCCGGAACACTTCCCAATTCCTGGCCCTTGTTGCAAATCACACAGCACACCTCACCACTGCTAGATGGAAGGGGCTCCATCTGCAAAATGTTAATGGTGCCTGGGAGTCCACCAGATCCCACTGTCCATGGCCAATGGAGCTCTTTCTAGAAGGACAATTTGAAGAGCATTGTCTTGTAAATCCAATACTTTTCTACTGTGTTATTCTCTGGATCTGTTTAAACCTTTATTACCTAACTCTGCATGTCTATCGATCATCTGCCCACCTAGCCCATGGGTCAGTGCATACCTTGGTTCATAGCACATTTCATAGAACACGGGTCACCAGCAAAGGCTTCAGGGAACAGGAGCCATCAAGCCCGAGCCAGCCAGAGAGAAGAGAGAAGCCTGACTTGATGGCTTGTGCCAATCAGAGCAGTCCCAGAACTCCTTCTTTTTCTGGGCTCCAGAGTAGGGTAGAGTATAGGAGGCGCCATCTGGCCAGCTCCAGGCCCAGCACAGTGTACCTGGGGCTCCGCTGTAGCTGATGTCTCCCCTCTTTTGATAAGGGTACAAACAAACCTTATGTGAACAGCCAGGGAAAGCCTTCTTGATCCTATGGGTAGGGATGGCACAGACATTCCACTCACACCTGTCTAAATCCCTCCTTCTCTAGTGAGAATGAATGAGTGGTTTGGATTCAAGAAGTTATTTCCTAAGCAGAATAATTATCCTTCCCTGATACTAGTCTGTCTCCTTCAGTGCACCAAGTCCCTCCTCTGGGCCTCATCGCATTCTGTACACACTTACCTACAACATGCAATGCTCAGTATTGTGACGGGTCTAGTACTCACCAGTCCTCTTCTGACTTCAGCCCATGTGCTCTTCCAGAGCAGGAGCCTATTGTATTCTTACCTCCATCTCTAGAACCGATCACCGTGCCCAGAACATAGTGAGTACTCAAAAACTAGTGAGTGAAACTCTAACATAGTGAGCCTCCACAACAGGGAATATTAGAGCTGGGATTGAACATCCAACCATCAGAAACACTGAGGGCACAAGAGAATGGAGCATGGCCTTGGAAGCTCCTGGTCACTCCAGACCCCGTCAACTCTTCTGACCCCCATTCATTCACCTAATCAGTCACTGAATAAATATATGTCATGTGCCTTCCTTGAGCAAAGCACTAGAATAGATAGAAACAGGAAACTTTGGCTCCTGATTGTAGGTGTCTGCCATGGGTGTCTCTGAACACCTCTGAGTTGTTGCAGGATTGTACCACTCCATTACGACATTTTTCAAAACAAAATCAAATTACTTCCTGTGCCTACTATACTTAAGGCATTGTGCTGACCACTGTCGGGGATACAAAACAGCACAGGCTATAACTTACCTAGAAGGACTTTCCATTCTAACTCAGCAGCAGAATATAAAAGTGTTGACTACGTTTATGAGACCATCCAAGCCCTCCTTGGAAGTACAACTAGGAGCCATGCTCTTTTGCTTTCTCGCTGGCACATGTATGTGCAGCCACAAGGCTTCTAAAATGCCACCATCTTGAGGCTTCTAAAATACCGCCATTGGCTTGATGATAACGACCACACCCAGAGAGCTGTTTACTATCTTGTATGCACTAGGCACCAAGTCTTTGAGGGAGTATTGTTATCCCTGGTTTTCTAGTAAGAAAATAGGACTCTGAAAGAGTCAATGATTTTAATAACGTGAGCAGTGCTGACATTTGAACATGCATCTATGGAACTCCCATGTCTTCACTGTGGGACTTCAAGGAATGCTTCTTGAAACACCACATGCAGTCTTAGTAGGGCACTGGAAAGATTCACTGAGTGGATCTCAATACTCATGGGGATTCCTTATAGTACTGACCTTGGTCTTCCCCCAAATGCCATCTAACAGCCATCTCGGGCCTCTCACAGAACCAGCATCATTACTCCCATGGTAACAACTGAGGCTTTACACCTTATAGTAAAATAATGTTTGGGGAAGAGGGGGCATTTGATCTACCTCATAGTTGAATCTGTGGGCTTTTTGAGGGCAAGCCATCCATAAAATCTCTCTCAAGTGAGGAGGAGGAACATTAAATGTCTCAGGGCATCTTAGAGATTCAAAAACAAGTCAATATCAGGGGCTGGGGATTTAGCTCAGCGGCACAGCACCTGCCTGGCAAGCACAAGGTCATGAGTTCGATTCCCGGTACCTGAAAGAAACAAACAAACAAAAAAAAAACAAATCAACATCATAAGAAAGAAATGCAGGGATAGGAGCACCCTTGAGAAAAGAAGTAGCTGCTCTTCACTTCCAATTCCCTGGGACAAAAACACCACTCCCCTGCTTCCCCCACACATCTGCTCGTTTCTGTGTCTCTCTATAAAGGGTTTCTCTGCGGCGCACAGCTTCATGGCCACCCTCACTGCTTGGTTCTTCAGATCTCACAGTTCGGGAGGTCTATGGTCACAGTCTTTGTGCCTTTAGTTCAAATTATCAGAATGAACTGTGACCAGTGAAAAAGTCTTGAGCTATGAAATGGCTTCCAAAAACATTCCTTCCGTGGGAAGTATTGGGAAAAGATGTGGAATGGCCATAGTTCTGGAATCAGAAGCATGGCCAGACCAAATTCCCCAAGATGCATATAAAGGCATATCAAGCCCTATTAGCTGCCCAGGGGCTGCACTCTGAACGGTATGTGCTCATCTGTCACACTGCAGGCTAACCACTCTGGCACAATTTTATGTTGATTTCAACTGAGCGTTGTCTTTATCAATGCCCACAGAGCATGACTTTAGGTAATCGATGAGGGCTAAACGAGCACTAGTATCTGATGAAACTGAGGCTTCTCTTGTGTCTGCCTCTCCCCCCAGTTTGGATTACCACCCTGCACCTGGCCCTTCTGCCTCTCGGCGCTCACCTTCCTGCTCCTGACGACCAACAACCCTGCCATCTACAAGCTCCCGCTTAGCAAAGTCACCTACCCGGAGGCCAACCGCATCTACTACCTGTCACAGGAGAGAAACAGGAGGGCGTCAACCATCACAAAGTATCAGGCTTACGACGTCTCCTAAGTTGTCCCTTCCAAATCATGTCACTGTAAATGCAGCGGTCAGCAAGCTGCCCGGGTCCCCAGGCTAAAGGCCACCTAGCCTCCCCTTCTGTCTATTCTGTGATTTTCCCCCAAGCGCAGGGAAATGTGTGTATGGTCAGCATTCAGGAAGCTCTGTAAGATGACTTAGTTCAGACTTGATTCTCATAGCTAGCTCCATGAGAGCCCCCCTTTAATAGGAACTTTTCCAGTTCTGCAAAAGAATCCTCATTCCGAAGGAAACGTTACCAAGAATGGGACAGATATGGGTGACATTTCTGACAGCTGTGTCATTTAATATAGCAAAGCACAGTGCTGGGACATATTCATGAGCCTGGGAGGGGAGAGGACTGCCTCCCCACCCACCTCAGCCACCAATGGGTCCCAACAGCTTCAGGCCAGGCTTCCCCATCACAGCCTGGACATCTTGTTGGCAGGAACTTCTTTATGACAGGGAGGGACTTAGGTCCCTTCTACCTCAGAAGTGTTAGTTCCTCTCTGTCTCCTATAACCTGATCAAGTCGGCATAAGCAGAAAGCAGTTCCCTGGAGTTGAGTCACAGAAGAAAGTACTACCCACAGAAGGGGCAGGAGAGAGCTGATGCTCTCTGGAGGTTTATTTTGGGGTGGTGGGGATGACCTCCAGGTTGTTGTTAGGAACCGAAATTACTGAAAATGTCACTATGCCTTCTTTTACATAACTGAAGTACTTCCAGAAATGTCATAAGGGGAAAATTGATTTTTTCATCATTATAATCATACTGTAAACAAATGGCTTTCCTTTTATAACATTCATAATTATACTCTCATTAAACTCTTTAGATCTGCAAGTTGGTATCAGGGTTTTCTTAAAACGGTTCCTGCCTACATTCTCATATATCACCCACCTGAAGGGTTTTCCACAGTCCAGGATGTAACTGGAAAGAGATTAGGGTGGGTTAAAAATTATTAGAGGGGGAGGCAGGCATGACAGCACACTTATAACCCCAGCACTCTGGCAGGCTGAGGCAGGAGAATCACACATTCAAGTGCAGCCTGAGCAACTTACCAACTTAACAAGACCTTGTCTCAAAATAGAAAATATAAAGGACTGGGGATGCAGCTCAGGGTGAAGGCCCTGAATTCAATTCCAGTACTGTAAAAAAAAAAAAAAAGAATCCTCTGAGTTATATACCAGAGGAGGGTTTCACTTGCTTACAAAAGGAGTTACACAGAAATGACTAGAGAGGTCGCTTTCTGCTGTTAACAACCCGTGTCACTCTCTAGGGACATGGAAAGGCTAAAGGCCACCTAACTGTACCTTGTAAGCCCAGGTTACAAATCCAGTCCCTTTTGCCTGGCCAGTAACCCCTCTTCTTTAGTTGCTTTGGAGATAGCTTCTATTAAGCCTATGCCAGCAGACTCCTTTGTAGGAAGCCAAGTTGCCCAGCTTGCCCAGTGAGACACGCCTCCAAATCCATCCCCACTTCCAGCTTAGTGTGAGTGCGTGATGGCAGAAGAAAAAAAATGGAGGAGGAAGGGAGGGAGTGGGACAGACCCTCGATAAACCCGCTTTAAGGAAAGAATTACAATCTGACCAAAATCTATTCTTTACAAAAGCTAGTTTCTACCTTTGTTCTTTCTCTGCCCTGAGGTCTTAGCCATCTTTCCCAGCCCAGGAGCCCGGGCTGTATGCTTCCAGATCCTCTCCAGCTCCTCCGACTCCTCCAGGAAGACGGGAATATCTCCTGCAAATGCACCCTCCGCGTAGGAAAGAGGAAAGCCTCGCACTCCAGAGCTACCTTTGGGTCTGTGATCACACCTTGAGGCCAAGAAGGTCCCGGGCTGTATTTTAATGTCTCTAGAATAATGGCTCTCTGAAGATCAAGCATCCAAAAATTTCATCTGGGGCTGTTTATGCTCATAGTGTGCTTGGCTGCCCCAGAGCCTCCAAGTGATGACATGGAGCTATTAAAGTACGGGTTCGAATGCATTTTCCACCAACGTCTTATAATGTGGTTTTATTAAGAGCAGGAAACCCTCCATGCGCATGCCATTCTGATTATTGACCACTAATAAAACCTTTCAGCTGTTCTAAGTGTTCCAATATCCTCACCTATAAAGCAAGCTGAGTTGGCCAAGGATTCCAAGTAGGATTGAAATGGGGTAAAAGAATTAAACTTATGGAAGCATACGCTGTCTTGGGATGTCAAATAGGCACTCTAGTCCAGTACTTCAATTAAGCTTCCATAGGGCTGGAGTCAGTGCTAATTCCTGAGAGGAGAGGCAGGGTGCAAGAGAGCCAGTTCCTCCCAGCTCTTCAGCAACATCATGCTGACAGCTTGAGACCAGCCGTGGTGGGAGTATTTACACCACAGAAATCAGCCAGCTCTACACACACACAAACAACACACATTTCACAAACATGCATACAAAACAAAAATATACATGCATTGTGGAAGGAAGAACAGAATGAACTATAACGATAAAAGAACATACACACCTTCATACATTCAAGAGAGAGGCTTTTCATGGGCCAATGAAGCTAATACGCTGAAGACTAAGGCACATGATTAACTCAGTCTATGTCCCAGAACAGTTTTCAGTGGGTGGGCAGAGACACACACGCAGCTCTTTCTCTTGCCTTTTGCCTTCGTAGAACTAATTCGTTAGTGACACGTAGTGGCCCTGAACAGTAGTTGATTGAGTAACTAGCTGAAATACACTCTCATCACCCACTCACCCTAACTAGAATTTGAAGTCTGCTTCACACAGACTTACTTATGAGAAACACAAGAATCTCAGGCAGGCCAGCTGACTGAAACTTCCCTCCAGAGCTTGCTGCTGGTAGCCTTCTCTCACACACATGGATGGTGTTCCCGGAAAGAGTGCTCCACACCATCCCCCCTAAGCTTTTTATGGTGTTATAAGCAATGATGTCAAGGCACTGTACACAGGTTTTTTCAAACAGCCCTTCCTTGCAGAGTGTGCTAGTTGGTTTTTCATCTCTATAATGAAATCCCTGAGAGAAAAATCAACTTAAGGGAGAAGTGACTTATTTTGGCTCAAAGTTTCAGAAGTTTCCATCCATGGTCATGTGGCATCCATGTTTCCAGGCCTGTGGTGAAACAAACCTCACTCAAGCTGAGGGCAGAGATGAGCCCGCCCTCAGTGATCTACTCCCTCCACCTAGGCCCCATCTCCTAAATTCTCCACCATCGTCCACCCTTAGTACATTCACCATTAAGCTCTGAATTCATCCATTGAATAATCCATTGATGAGGTTAGAGCCCTCATGACCCAATCAGCTCCCAAAGGTCCTCACCTAGGAACAACCCTGCATTGAGAAATCAAGCAGAACTTTTAGGGGACACTTAAGACCCGAATCAAAATATGAACCCTCTACAGTTTGTTTCCCCACGTTATGTACATCAGTAAGGTAAGTAATAAGATGGTGCAGCAGTGGTTCTCAAACACCAGCATGGATTGGAATCAGAAGACTGGACTGCACTCCCAGAGTCTGATGCAGTAGATCTTGCTGAAATCCTCAGTATTTGATTTCCAAACGTTCTCAGGTGATGCTGACGCTATGGGGTTGGGGCCACACTTTGAGAAGCACTAGTGTAGACTTAGCAATAAGACACTGCCTTAATCATCCTTTCTTTCTTCATTGCATGTTGTAATGCACAGGTTATAAATTTATATGCACAGAGAAAACATTAGGGCCTATTAAAATACAGATCCCTGGGCTTTAACCTCAGAGATGCGGATTCAGTAGATTCAGATGGACTCAAGAATCTGAAGCTCCCAAAAACTCTCAGAGTATACCAGTGCTGCTGGATCCACGTGCAGACTTTGGGGTCACTGCATAAACTCTTAGTCCTGGACAGAACAGAATCTCTGGCTCTGACACCCAGGCCCCTCCATGGACCAATTAAGTCAGGAGCAGCCCTGGGGGCAGGTATTTTTTAAAACTCCTGGGTGTGTCCTGATGTGCAGCCAGTGTTGAAAACAACCATGATGTCTATTTCCTGTGCCCAAAACTTCTCCAGTCAGAGTCACATGGAGATGTTAAGGCCTCTGTCCCCATCCTCAGTTTGTAGGAAGGTTTTGCATAAGAGGGAGAGGACTCAACAGGGAGCCCAGCGAGGCTCTGTGGTCACCTGAGGCGGGAAGAACACGCACAGCACAGAGACTGACATCTCTCCCCTGCTCAGCATTGTTGGGGGCAGCCCTGCACCCCAGAGGAGACTAAAGAAAACTGAAACCACTAACCAGAAACATCCGGCTCAGTAAGCCAGGCAGACAAGTGGGGGTTGGCATTGGCCCCGGAAGCCTGCTGATGGAGCACGTGAAGCAGGGCATGGTCAGCAGCCCCTCCAAGCTCACTGCCCTCGGGTGGACAGTTCAGGCCTGGTGCAGAAGCGGGACTGCAGGGGACATAAAACGGGTGTGGTGTGTGAGCAGGTACAGGGTGAGGGGCTGCCCCAAAGGTGGGCCACAAGGTGGGAGGGTTGGGGAGGTGGGGACAGCAGAAGCTGCTGCCAGGGGGCAGTCAGGTGGCAGGTGGCACAAACAGAAGAGGAGCCCCGTACCTGTGACAGGAAGCCCTGAGAAGGTAGACATCCAAGGTAGAGGTAAAGGAGGGAGAAAAGCAGAACACGGAGACTGGTTGGGCCAGGTGGCCCTAGAACAGGAAGACATTTAAAGTGTAAAAACTAGACAGGTTTGGTGAGGTGAGTCTCCAGCACTCTGTGAACTGCCTGATGAAACCTGGGACAGGGACAGGGACAGGGACAGGGATAGGGACCAGCGGGTGCTCTTCCTCCTACCCTCAACACCTGCTTCTTGTGGCATCAGTGTGGTCACAAGAGACACTGCCACATATAGCATGGCTGAGCTGGCGGGGGCGTCCCAGGACAGGGAGCGGGAAACTCAGCGGAGCGTCCTGGTGTCCAGGCCCAGAGTCCCTGGGGAAACCGGTGTTAGTGCTTTTCAAAGCTCCCGGGGTGCTGATGTGCACCCCAGCTTGCCTGCACCTCCAGAGACAGCACAATGGGTGCTCCACGTGGTCAGCGCTGGGCCATGGGGAGGCTGCAGGGAGAAGACTCCTAGAGAGGTCTCGCAGGGGAGGGACCCCAGGTAGCATGACTTCGTCAAGTGGATGTTGTCCCTATCCTGCATCAGAGGTGACCTGCTACCATGCGGTTTTTAAGCTCTGGATCTGAACACTGAAGCTGTGATCCTGGCCCCTCTAAATTGCTGCGGAACCTCACTGTGCTCATCCATGTTTGTAAACCCTCCGAGAGACACTGGTGCTCAGCTAGTTTCTAGCAGCTCTGATGTACAGCGACAGCTCCAGACACAAGCCCAAGGGGAGGGTCTGGAGGGTAGACGCACCTCCTTGCCTGGGCTACCAGCCGCCTAAAAGGGCCAGTCTCCCCCTCCCAGGCCCCATCTGGCTCCTTGACCTTGGCCCCAGGTACTTGACGGGAACGGGTTCTGAGTCTTTCTGTGCGGGGATGGGATTTTTAAGTCCCCAGATCCCACACTCCCCGCAGTTGCAGTGAGGGGGGACATCTGCGGGAGGACCCTCCCAGAGAGCTCAAGTGTAAATTCACTCTTCTGTGAGATGCGTTCATTCATTTCAGTGCTATCGGGTTGTTTTAACTTGATCCTTGAGAACCGGCCCAACACAAAGACTGGGCTTTGCGCGCTTCGTAGAGTTGCACCAGGTCGGATCAGATATAAGACAGTAACCTGTGAGTTCTTCTGGGTTCCTTTTAGCAGCTGGATGTAGGAGTCATATTTTTATTTTGCTGCTGAAGTATTGATTTTTTTTTAAGCCCTA